TTACTAGCCCGTATATCGATGAGAGGAGCAGCGCGCGGACCCCATCGCCCGCCCGTTTGCAGCCCGGCTGCGAACGCGCGCGGCAGCTTTTATTATTTTCTTGCGTTTCAGACGCGCCATTTACGAATTACCGTGTTAACGGACCCGATACGAGATTTACGCGAGCCATTCCGTGTGCACACGCTCTCCGCAAAAACAAAAAAAAAAACGCCGACGCGACGGCGGATCGTCAGGATGCTAATGCAAATTCGAGGCTCGATGGGCCAATTTTCGGAACCCCCGCGCGCGCGCCTACCCTAATTTATCTTGCCATTAGATCGCGAAGCGTTTTCGCGGGGACCGTTTGTTTTATTGATTTCATATATTTGCATTCGAATGCGAGTCGCATTGTTTCGACGAATGTTGGCGAATTGTTGGCGTGCGGATTAATTTGTTGCAACTTTCGGGTTTTTCGGTAGCACAAACGTTGTTTGTGTCACTCTGCTACTTTTCCAGCGACTGGATTTTGGAATTATCCAATAGTCCAATGACCGAATTTTTCAATCATCCGATGTTCCAATTATTCGATATTCCAACAAGATTACACCTTACCGAACAAACTAGGCGTCACAGTATTAACAATCAAAAGAGTTAGCCATGAAATTATGTATTTCGATTATCCAATATTCCAATGACCGAATTTTTCAATTATCCAATGTTTCAATTATTTGGTGTTTTAACAGGATTACACCTGATGAAACAAACTAGAAGGTGTTACAATATTAATCATCAAAAGCTACNGTTCGAAAAGGTTCCATACTTTTTGAAGCACAGTAGACCTAAGTTCGACCACGTCAGTGACGAATTTTATTTTTTACTTTATTTAACATCTTCGATTATCATAAATTAATGTATTTATTAAACGTGATTTTTTAAAGAAGAATAAACAACTCTACAATGTTATTGATAAAACAAAATAAACGTCGCTAGAAAATTATTCATCGTGCTAACATTATTAAAGAGATGATTTAAGTAATAATCACTAGAAAATGATTAAATTAGCGGGTTCAAAGCCCGATTGTCCGAACTGATTCGCGATCCCGGAATCCGGATCTTGACGATCGATGTCGCGGCGAAGACGATCGATCGATATCGGTCAGCGAGCATTTTAAATGGCCCGACGAGACCGAAAGAAAACGGCTGAAAGGAAGAATGGTTCCCTTTCGACGGTTACGTAAACCGTGTCGGCGCGGCGCGGCGCGGCGGTCGGACGAATGAAAATCCCGCTTTGAAACAAGATCCCCGGGAGATACTCGAACGCGTTTTCAATCTCATAAAGCCTCGTCCCCCGCGCCCGCGCCGCGCCGCGCCGCCGCGCCGTCGATTATTCCCGCTCGATACTTGGCAGAAATTTTTAAGTATATTAGGAATACACTGGCTGCGGCTGAGTTATTCGAATGCTTTCAAGAAATTGCAGGATGCATTAGCTTACATTACGCCGCCTCCATTACATTATGAATATTACTAGCCCGTATATCGATGAGAGGAGCAGCGCGCGGACCCCATCGCCCGCCCGTTTGCAGCCCGGCTGCGAACGCGCGCGGCAGCTTTTATTATTTTCTTGCGTTTCAGACGCGCCATTTACGAATTACCGTGTTAACGGACCCGATACGAGATTTACGCGAGCCATTCCGTGTGCACACGCTCTCCGCAAAAACAAAAAAAAAAACGCCGACGCGACGGCGGATCGTCAGGATGCTAATGCAAATTCGAGGCTCGATGGGCCAATTTTCGGAACCCCCGCGCGCGCGCCTACCCTAATTTATCTTGCCATTAGATCGCGAAGCGTTTTCGCGGGGACCGTTTGTTTTATTGATTTCATATATTTGCATTCGAATGCGAGTCGCATTGTTTCGACGAATGTTGGCGAATTGTTGGCGTGCGGATTAATTTGTTGCAACTTTCGGGTTTTTCGGTAGCACAAACGTTGTTTGTGTCACTCTGCTACTTTTCCAGCGACTGGATTTTGGAATTATCCAATAGTCCAATGACCGAATTTTTCAATCATCCGATGTTCCAATTATTCGATATTCCAACAAGATTACACCTTACCGAACAAACTAGGCGTCACAGTATTAACAATCAAAAGAGTTAGCCATGAAATTATGTATTTCGATTATCCAATATTCCAATGACCGAATTTTTCAATTATCCAATGTTTCAATTATTTGGTGTTTTAACAGGATTACACCTGATGAAACAAACTAGAAGGTGTTACAATATTAATCATCAAAAGCTACCCTATCAACCACAAAAAAACAAACCGCATAAACCAACCCTCAAAACCATTCCCAAAAAATTAGCTCAAAAAATTATCCAATTGTACATCCTAATTATCCAACGTTACAATGATCGAATTTTGCAGTTATCCAACGTTCCAATTAGTCAATATCCGGACAAAGATTAGCCAAACGAACTAAAAGATGTCGCAATATTAACCACAAGAACAGGCCTTAGAATCCAGCCCTCGGAATCAGTTCCAAACACCCTGTATTCCTGTCGCATCCGAGTTCCTCCAGGCTCGCTAAAACTCCTTGGTCCCCGAGCACTTAATACTCGCAACAATCCGCGGCGTACATAGCTCGATAAATTATTCGTCGCGAGTCCGCAAACGTCGGAGTAGTCGCGGGGATTCTCGATCGGTATCGCTCGAGAAAAAGGTCTGTCCGTCGGAGTGGAGAAGCCTGTCGCGACTCGGGAGTCAATTTAGAATGAGAATATCGGGGGAAGGATAGGCTGCACACGCTTGCCGCGAACAGACACACCGTCGCATCGCTCCCTTTCGCTGGAACTACCCCTCCTCGCTCTCTTTCACAGTTTATCTCTTTGTTTATTCTTTTCTGTTTCGCACTCTCTTTTCGTTTTTCTCTCACCTTTTCTCTGTTTCTTTTTCAATCACTCTCCTTCTCTCTTCCTTTCACCACTTCGCTTTCTTTACCACTTTTTCTTTTGTTTCCTTCTCTATTTCTCTTCCTCTCTTTGTTTCTGTTATTCTCTTTCTCCCTATTTTTTTCATTTCGCAGTTATTCCATTCTCTTTTCGTTAGTTTTCTTCTTTCACTATTTCTATTTCTTTCTCTTTCTTTGTTTATTTCTTCAGCTTCCGCTCTATTTATTATCTTTCCTTCACTGTCTCCTTTCTTTCTCTCTTGTTTCCCTTTTTCTTTCTTTATATCGCTTTTCGCAGTTCTTCTATACTTTCTTTGTTAGTTTTCTTCTTTCTCTATTCCTATTCTTTTCTCTTTCTTTCTCTATTTCTCTTCTTTTCTCTGTTTTTCCACCTTTTCTTTCTTTATTAGTTTTTTCTTTTTCCATTTCTCCTCCCTTCTCTCTATTTATTATCTATCCTTCGCTGTTTGTCTTCTTTTTCCCCTTTTCTCCTCCTTCCTTCTATATTACTCTTTTCCATCCTTTCTTTCTTTATTAGTTTTTTCTTTCTCCATTTCTCTCCCTCACTGTTCCTGTCTTTTTATATTTTTCTCCTTCTTCCTTCTATATTACTCTTTCCCTTCCTTTCTTTCTTTATTAGTTTTTTCTTTCTCCATTTCTCTCCCTTACTGTTCCTGTTTTTTTTCTATTTTTTCCCCTTTTCTTTTTCTGTTCCACCTCCATTCTTTTTCCTTTTCCGTTTCTCCGCTTTTCTCAAATGCCTCTGTCTCCCCTTAGGACCTTTAATGTTCTCTCTTTCTCTTTCTTCTTCTCTTTCTCTTCTGTCTATTCATTCTTTTTATTTCCATTTCAGAGTATATTTCTCTCCTTTTTCTATACACTTTTCGCTTTTTTCTTCCTTTCTCTCCTTCTCTTCCTATTCCTCCTTTTTTTCTATTGTCTCAACTTTCTCAGATTACCCTCTTCTGTCTCCCTTCGCTTTTTCATTCCATTTCTCTGTGTATCTCTCTTTTTGCTATGTGTTTTCTATTCGTTTTTCTTCTTTTATATATGTTTGTCTCCTTTCTCTCTATATCTGTTCCTATTATCTCTATTTCTCTCTCTTTCTCTCTGTCTCACTCAGTCCCACTCACCGAGTTCTCTTTGCCCGCCGCCAGCTCTCTTTCTCCTCGCTGCGCCTTGGTGCATTAGCTCGAACACATCCATGAATATTATCCCGTACTTTGGCGAGGGCTGAGGAGGGTGTCTGGAGACGGAGAGGTGGGGGTCGAGGGGTTTCGGGCTCTCGGTATATAAGGTATAAGGTAGTCCATTAGCGTTAATATTATAAACGTTAGCTGCCCTCTGGCCATTCCCGTAACATACTCGCTCGCGCCTGCGCCCTCGCTCCCCTTCTGTTTCTCTTTCTTCTCCCTTTCTCTCTTCCCGTCCTCCTCTTTCGTTCCCCCTTGCTCTCATCTCTATTTCAACGACCGTTCCCTCCGTATACACGCACTATCTCTCTCCCTCTCTCTCTCTCTCTCCCCCCGTCTTTATCTCTCTCTCTTTCTCTCTCTCTCTCCCTACTTAACAAAACAGATAACCTGAGCTCTCTTTCTCATTCATTCCACCCCCGTTCTATCCTTGTCCTTGCGTGCACTCGTGTCCCTCTCTATCTCTCGCTATCTCTCTTTCTCGCTATTGCTCCGCGCGACGCCGCGGTTCCACTTTCATTCACTGCGCCCTCCGTTCCTCAACCTACCCCTCACCGTATCTCTTTCTGTATCTTTATCTATCTTTGTCTATCGTTGTCCCACTTTCTTTTCGTTTCTTTCACTATTTCCATTTCTTTTTCCTTCTCTAGCTTTCTTTGTGTTTCTTGTTCTACCTTTCCCTTTGTCTCTATCTCTATTTTTCTTTCTGTTTCCGCCCCTATTTTTCTCTATATTTTGTATCTGTTTCTTTCTCTTTCTCTCACTTTCTTTATCTCTCCTTATCGCTCTTTATCTATTTTTATCTTTCTTTGTCTTTTTTCTCTCTTTATCACCCTTATGTTTTCTTTATCTTTCGTCATCTTTCTCTATATTTCTCTGGCTTTTTTTACCTTTCTTTATCTTACTCTCCCTCTCTTGATATTTTTTTCTCTATCTTTAACCCTTTTTCTGCCTACCTGTTTCTCTATACTTTTCTATCTTTGTCCCTCTCCCATTGTCATCGTGCAATTCGAGCACCCTCATCCTAACAACTTCCGCTCCCCTCCTTCTCACCGATCCCTCTTTTCCTTTTCCCTATTCCGGTCCCGAATCCCCCCCGCCCTCAATTTGTGCCTGATATCGTTTCGACATCCTGTCCACTAATAATGATTTCTATATTCGTTCCTTCTTCTCATGACTGCGTCGATCGGCACTTTTCCGTCTCCCCAAAAATGAACATAGAACACTAAATGCGATATGTAATTGAAAGGAATTTACAAGAACGGAACAATGAAAAATGTTAACGCTCGACAGGTAAATGTGGAGTTGGTTCTCTAAAAGCCATGGGGTATGAACAGATGTGAAACATTATGAGTGACGTGGCAATGTGTTTGAGGATCAGGATGTGCGATGGTGCGAGAGTAGGTGAACGTAAATATTGTGGTATTGCTTGAGAATTTGGTGCGATTTGTATGAATGCCAATCAGAGCGAACAACGAGTATGATGTGAGAGCGAGAGAGTGGGGAGAAGGAGTGAGAGTACTAAGAGTGATGACAAACCTGAACTTGCGACAGTGAATTGAGAACCGAGAAATCTTTGAAGGTGTTGTGAGTGTGTTCAAGGTATCTCTTTATTGTGTGTGTAATACTTAATTATAAATAAATAGTTCATTGTTCCGTAATCTTTTCACACTTAACACTTTCACATTTCACTTTCAATTGAATCAAAATTGCTAAACAAACTTATATGGCATTAATTACTTCTTCAGCATTTGTGCCTCTTGTAAATCTCAATTAAATGGAAAAATTATAATGATGATTTGTCTATTATATGGTGTATTGACATATTATTGTGACACTGTGTTACATAACATTGTTGTACTGTTGTAGCACTATTATTCAGTATTGTCATATTATTGTGACAATATTA